TCAAAGAAATCCCAGAGCGTGGAGAGCCTGAAGGCAGAGGTATGTCCTTGGGAAGCTCAAGAGCTCGAGTCCACCAATAAATCTGAAATCTGCCCCTGGGAGGTGGCTGCACCTCCCTCCGATCAACCAAAGGCAAAGCAGGGTCTGGGGGGGGGCTCAAAGGGCGACAAGTCCATCACGCGCCAGGCAGCGTTAGCCAGCCCGGTGAGATCCCTGGAGAAGAGTGGCAGCGAGCGAGAGGCCGTCTGTCCCTGGGAGAGCCTGGGCACGGAGCAGCCCCCAGAACAACCCCATGCCAGGAGCCCAGCGCTGCCCAAATCGCCTTCAAAGAAATCCCAGAGCGTGGAGAGCCTGAAGGCTGAGATCTGTCCCTGGGAGAGCCTGGGCACGGAGCAGCCCCCAGAACAACCCCATGCCAGGAGCCCAGCGCTGCCCAAATCGCCTTCAAAGAAATCCCAGAGCGTGGAGAGCCTGAAGGCTGAGATCTGTCCCTGGGAGAGCCTGGGCATGGAGCAGCCCCCAGAACAACCCCATGCTAGGAGCCCAGCGCTGCCCAAATCGCCTTCAAAGAAATCCCAGAGCGTGGAGAGCCTGAAGGCAGAGGTCTGTCCTTGGGAGGCTCAGGAGCTCCAGTCCACTGATAAAGCAGAAATCTGCCCCTGGGAGGTGGCTGCTCCACCATCAAGTAAAGAGAAATCAAGACCAGACAAGGATGCTCTGTCCATAGGGAGCAAAAGCCCTTCTACAGGTCAAGGTCTCCATAAAGAGATTGGGGACAGCACGTCTGCAAAGAAGGAGAAAGCAAGCAGAGACCGTGAGTCCATCTGTCCCTGGGAGACCACAGACACGGGGGGCCCTTCCACGGGGTACAGCACAAGGAGCGCAGAGCTGCTGAAAGCCACCGCCAAGAAAGCAGTGACCACGAGGAGCACAAAGGCTGAGATCTGTCCCTGGGAGAGCCTGGGCATGGAGCAGCCCCCAGAACAACCCCGTGCCAGGAGCCCAGCGCTGCCCAAATCGCCTTCAAAGAAATCCCAGAGTGTGGAGAGCCTGAAGGCCGAGGTCTGTCCTTGGGAGGCTCAAGAGCTCGAGTCCACTGATAAATCTGAAATCTGCCCCTGGGATGTGGCTGCACCTCTGCTAGAGAAAGCAGCAGCCCCGGGCAAGGCGAGCCTCCCACCGAAAAAAGCGTGTGCGTCCAAAGCACTGGGGAAGAGTGGCAGCGAGCGAGAGGCCGTGTGTCCCTGGGAGAGCCTGGGCACAGAGGAGCCCTCCCTGACAACTGCAACGGGGGAAGAGCCGTCCATGAAGTCCAGCAGCACAGAGAGCAGGAAATCTGATATTTGCCCCTGGGAAGAAGCAGAGCCCACCGGCTCGGAGAAGGAAAGCTTCAAGCCAGGCGTGCACCCACAAGGAGCTGACAGAGCATCCCCCATGGGGACGGGAAAGTCAAAGCCGGTGGCAGGAGCCAATGCCGTGTCTCGAACAGCCCTGCTGAAAAAATCCAAGGGCAGATTTGATGTCAAGGCTGAACACAAGCCCCTGTGCCGCATCGTGCCAGGCATCCAGCCCCCACAGGGCCCCAGATCAGAGCTACTGCCTCATGGAGCAAGCACGGCTCCCGCAGCGGGCAGCATCCTCAGCCCAGGCGCTAGCGTAGCTGAGGTTTGTCCCTGGGAAGCAGAAGAGGCTCCGCCAGCGTCTGACAAGACCAGCACAGATGCCAGGAAAACCTCCGAAGTCTGCCCGTGGGAGGCGGAGAGCGTGGATCCCACCCCGAGCCTCCCCAGGCAGAGCAGAGCTGGGGCGAGCCCCCAGGACAGAGCCAGCGTCTGCCAAGACCAGCACAGACGCCAGGAAAACCTCCGAAGTCTGCCCGTGGGAGGCGGAGAGCGTGGATCCCACCCCGAGCCTCCCCAGGCAGAGCAGAGCTGGGGCGAGCCCCCAGGACAGAGGCAGGGGTGCGAGTGAAGCCAGACCCGACGTCTGCCCGTGGGACCACGAGTAGCTCCCTTTCTCTGGCCGCCAGCTGGGTGCAGACGCAGCTTTCACGAACGGAAAGCCTTGAGCTGAAGGCTGCTGCCTACCTGCACAGCCCGGACAGGGACAGAAGCGTCCACCAAAGCCAACGGCACGGCCGCACTCCCAGCAGGCTCCGGTGGTGGCCATCAACCAGCCAGGCCTGGGGACCAACACAGCAAGGGGACAGTTAACATCTCCTGCCTTCATTAAAGCACTCAAGCCAGGCAGTAGCCTGCAAACGCCACCCCTCATTTACCCACAGGCACCTGGCCCAGCACAGGACCCCCTGGTCCGAGCAGGGTACCTGAACACCTTAAAACACCTGGGGTGCCAGCCTCACTTGCTTCCACCAACACAGCAGACACAAAGCTGTGCTTGCCAGCTAGAAATGCCCACCCGCAACCTCTCCAGCAGTCAAATGCCCTCCTACAGTGTGGGGTTGGGGTTTGCCTGGCACCCCAAAACATGCAGTCCCAGTGAGCTGGGTGCTTGGAGGACCAGGCAGCAAGCTCTCCCCTCTAAGCCAAGCGAAACAAGGGGAGTCAAACCAGGGGCAGCAAAATGATGCAACAGGGGAGGAAAACAGCTTTCCAGGATTTCTGCAGCCCAGCTGATCCCCCCCCAGCGCTGCTATCACCTCCATTTTAAACCGGGGTGGCTTCCGTAAGCACTGCTAGGACCAGGCAGGTTCTGACGCCTGGGATAAAGAGCCGTTGTCCCCAGCCATCCCTACAACACATTTTGCTTCCTTGAACGAAAGTCATTTATTTTGAAACATCCTCTGAAGTCACCAAGCCAGCCACAGGACTCACACACAGGCCCAGCAAACCTTTCTGCTCCGCTGTGCTCCAGCAATGCCAGCCCCGTGCTTGAGCGCTGCCCTTTGGCCATGCCCACCACCCTCGCTGTTCCCAGCTGCCTCTGCCTGTCGCTCGGCCTGGGTGGGTGGGATAAAACCAACCTTCAGGCCGCCCCACTGCTCTGCTTTTAGAAACCTCCACATCCACGAAGGCTGCGATGGGTATTCCTGCTTCACTTCACGGCACCGCTGTGCTTCTGATTCTTGCAGCAACTCTGCTATAAAGGTGTTTGTCTTAACTAACAAAGCCGCTAACTTTTCAAGCTCTTTGTCATTGCTGGTTTCTTCACTCATACCATGCGTGCAGACGCAGCCAGGGCTCGCCTTCCCACCACAGGAGAGGGTTTTTTCCATCAACATCTCCACCGGCACTAGCAAGCCTTCACTTTTACAGCCCATCTGTAAAAGCGCTGGATGTCTTTTCCCATCCCACAGTTCCACTTCTCCCTGTATTTGCAAGACCCATGCCTAGGAGCAGAGATGCAGACAGAGTCCTGTCTGACAGAGATGCTGCTGGGACCACGGAGGCAACCACGCTCTCCAGAGCATCAGGCAGGGCTCCCAGGTTTGCCATTGCTCCAGCCGCTCCCCCTGCAAATGCACAGGGGAAGGGATGCACCCCCACACGGGGAGAAGCCGCAGGGTCAGGAAGGCAGCAGCCGGGGACCAGCAAAGCCTCCAGTCCCCCCAGATTTGTCCCTCTGCTCCACTTTGATGGAAACAAATAAAAACCAGAGACGCCAGAAGTGAGGGTTTTGGTTCTCCCTCTGATCTCCACGCAAGGCTGGTGCTCAGGGCTCGTCCTGCCGATCCTTTTGTCATTTACTTCCCTAGAAAGCGGCGCTGCTGTCGTACGCTGTCTGTGGTCTTCAGCGCTGAATGTCAAACGATCATCCGATGGGGTAAGTAAGTGTACATACAGAAAATAAAGAGCATTCTCTACAGAGTGCACGCTTAGTGGCTGATTTATGGGGTGTGGGTAAGACACTAAACATGCTCAAGGAAGAGAAAGCAGCACAGCTGTGAAGAAAACCCGGGAACAGAAGTGGTTTAGTTGCAGAGGTCTGACTACTGGCAAAGGAGATGGGGAGCCACGCACTGCTAGACTGGAGGGAAAGGCCGTTCTCCCAGAAAACCAGCCCCTGCACCAGAAAAGACGTTCTTGTCATTCAGAGCCAGAGCTGAAGAACCTCGTCTGTTGGTTTTAGTTGAGGAATTTTGTCCATACCTGCTTGTAAGCTGCCCGAGTCGCACCAGACACAAACCAGGCAGCTCACACCCATTTATTTTAGCTCCTAACCCAGCTCACATATGCTGGAGCACTGAATCTCTCTTCAGCTCATGAATGAAGCGTAGGCAGAAGGCTCGATATAGCAGGTTCTTTCAGGAAAGGCAGACAGATTGCGACAGCCCTCTGATTTCCACCAAGATGAAAGGGATTCCATCGCTGGCTCCTCTCCTAACAGAGCATAAAGATGATATCCTGCCCTTTCAAAAGAACATCATTCACAAGAAACACCGAACAACTCCTGCAGCGTAAGGAGCCATAACTCGCTGCAAGCTCTGTAAAATCTCTTCCAAGGAAGAAAAAAACCGCACTTAACTCTCACAAGCTCTAGAAAATGGCAGAGTTAAAAAGCAAGACGAGGTTGAAAAAGAAGATGTTTGGTTGTTTGATGAGTAGTGAATATTTTGCTCTGTGACTAGGAGTAAGTGGAACTTAACTGAGCAAACCAGAACAAAACCAGAGGAGCACAGTGAACTCCCAGCCATGGAAAAAGCTAAGCATTGGGTACGTGTTGGCCTGACCCATGCAGCCTGCACAACCAGGGGACCCGATGCAAATGTCATCATGTCCACAGGATGGTGCCAGCCACTCACTAACAACAACCCATCGCTGAATTCCTGAGCATCTGTAAGAAACACGCCAAAACCCCTCAGCTATGAGAAACACTGCCTTTCAAGACGACGTTGGTTGACACAAACGCTGACCTTAGGTGTCAAAAAAATTTATTAGGTTATCAGTGCTGTGCTGCAGTCCCACTGGGAAGCTGGGCCATTAACAAGCACCCGTTCAGCA